GAGGTTTACCTGATATCTAACAAGTAAAATAAGTTGAGGTTCTTAATCTACAAGAGAATCTAGAATAGTACCAAGCCACTAATATTAACAATCTTGGGGTTTTCATACGCAAAGTTACATTATGATCTAAATTATCGCTTTAGGGTTTTCATATGCAAATTTGTGCATGAAGTAAAAAATTTAAATAAAATAATTTCTTTTGAAAATGAACCCTAGATACCCAAAACACACATTTGGCAACGTCAGCACGATCTGGTAACTATGTAGACTACACTCCAAGGTCACCACTCCCTCGAGAGACGTAGAGTGAGGGGCGATATGATCGAGGTGTATAAATGGAAGTCAGGGCTGAACAAAGGGGACATTACAAAGGTACTCAAACTATCCAACTAGGAGCAAACTCGTAACAATGGTTTTAAATTAGACAAATTCAGATTTAGGCGCCAAATAGGTAAACATTGGTTTGGAAATAGAGTAGTGGATGAGTGGAACAAGTTACCAAATATCATCATTAACTCGAATACGCTGGATAGCTTCAAACATAGGTTGGATGGATATATGAGCAATAGGGGTTGGGTGTAAATGGGACCCAATGATATAACATTGACTTACATTTCCCATGCATTTTCTTGCGACTTGTGGTGATTTCTTGTACATTACAGTGATTTCATTTATTCATAACAGTGTTGTGAGAGTTTTGAACCATGTCTCGTGTTGTTGGCGAAGATGGAAGGTGGGAAAACGTAGAAATTGCAAGGAGATTGCACAACGTGGTGATAGTGTAGTGCTTCTTGGTGCCTTTCCCTAATGAAATATTAATTCTTTCTCAAACTTTCTTCTACAGTATAACTATTTTTTTCGTAAATATGTACGCTTTAAAATGTTCATATTGGAATCACATGAAATAATGAAGGGAATAAAGTGATGTATAGTATAAACATTTTCATTAAGCATAAATTTTTTTTTGTGTTCTATTCGCGCTTATGTATAGAAATAATTTTTATCGTGATTACTTGCTGTATATACCCTGTAAGGGTTTATAGATAATTTATTTACAATGCTAATTCAAGAAATACCACCTTCTTTTCTCAAACAGCAGGAATGTATGACTCATTATGTACAATTATCTCTCATATGGCACAGTCAAGGGCGGTGAGGTGAGTAACAGGCCATGTCGAGTGTCTCGCCAGAGAGCAGCTACCCAAACCCAAGAGTGTTAAGAATCACCAGGGTGTATATCCTGCCAGCTTTAGTGTGTGTTTACTTAACCCCTGGGCTTCAGACTATGTCAGCATTCCCCCAAAAAACACATACACACATGGGTATATTTGGGAACATTTAAAAAAACAAATAAATAAAAATTCTAGTCTTACAAACTGGCCATGCATGATATTAACATGAAAAAATACATGTCCTTACCACAGGCTGGCAACACGGGCTGGGAAGAGTTGAGAATGTTCGTGAAGTGGCGTGTGTGTGATGCAATAGTACGAGGTAAATGGGGAACCAGTGGTGTAATGGTTAGCTTGCTCACCTCGTAAGCTAGCAGACCCGAGTTCGATCCCCGGGCAGGGTGAAACTATGGGCAAGTTTATTTACGCCATTTGCGTCTACTCAGCAGTAATTGGGAACCTGGATATTATTCAATTTGCGGATCGTGTTCCGGGGTAATGGTTAGCCAGTGCAGTTGGCGAGTTGTCCAGTCTTCTCGGACTATTCCTTGACACTGGGTCATGCAACTAGTTAACTTAGGGTGTGGTTGTTATGTTGGTGACAGCTTCTACACTTTAAACAATTCGAGCTTAGGTGGCCCTTGGGCTGGCCATCCTCGTTACATGAGGGGCAACCATTAGTATGAGGTAAACAACACTAATTTCTAGGCAGTATGAGGTACAGGACACTTGTTTTACTATGTTACTATATTACTATTTACAGTACCTATTTGGCAACACAATCTAGCCAGGTCTGCCCTTTTTATTCAGATAGGCCAGCGAGAGATAAAAACGTCATTTAACGTGACCCTGAAGCCTATAGTCCAAGAGCCCAGGCACTTTTAATCATGTGTCTGAGGCCAAAAGGTTTGAGGGTCGTTTCTGAATCAGAATTTTATGCTGAATCTGAAAATCCATTTCTTAATTGCCGCAGCTGCTGCGTTTTTGGAGAAAAACAGTGTTTTTTGTTGTTTTTATACCCTATTTTGGGGAAAAGTATAAAACAATGTTTTTACTTCGTGGAGTTATTAAATATCCATTTATACTAGCATGTATGGTATCAAAATAAAGATATTATGTTGTTGAACACATAGGCATTAAAAATAATACATGTAAGCTCAGTATCCATGGTTACAGGAGTGCTATTTGCCAAAAAATGAGAACATTTGTCCATTATTTCTCACGGATCCCCTAAGATACATGTATATATATATATATATCATATTGTATTATTGTTGATTGATTGAATTGTTGAAAAATATTCAAGCATAGCATGAATATATGGTTGTTGTTGTTATTTTTCTGTATTACTCCCACAGGTGGATGGGTCTGTTAACAAAACGGACAAGTCAAAACTGATGCATAAGTTGGAAGAAAGAGTGAAAAGTAGCAAACCAGTGAGTCGGGATGCATGTGCCATTGATGCAATGTTTCTCATACGAACTCTAGTCAATGTACCAGCCACATTTGGTGAAATTGCCAAACTTGTTCTGACACGGTTGTTGGGATTTGCCAAAAGGGTAGACTTTGTATGTGATTTATACAAAACCCCATCCATCAAAGATATCGAGCATGGTATCCGTGGATCTGATGCTACACATACCAACTTCATTATCTCTGGTCCTGACCAGAAGCGCCCAAAGGATTTCAATGCCTCGCTCAAGTCCGCGAATTTCAAAACAGCCCTCCTACACTTCCTTGTAAAGGAATGGAAGAGAACATCATACATTGAGCAGATCCGAGGCTACACGCTATTTGTAGGACTGGATGACAAAGCCTATCAATATGATGTAAAGGATGACAGTATTCACGTGCAAGAGGTCCCCAGCCTGGTCTGCAACCACGAGGAGGCAGATACTCGGTTGATCTGGCATGTTAAGCATATGTGCGAGTCCTACAAAGGTGGTAACATCATTATCCGGTCCTCTGACACTGATGTTCTTATAATTTTGCTTACGCATGCCCATGTCATACCAGGACAGCTATGGCTCGACGTTGGTGTAAGTACTAACAACACCAGGCGATATATAGATGTATCCCAGTTAGCTCACAGCCTTGGAGCAGAGTTGTGTGGTGCCCTGTCAGGACTCCATGCCTTCACAGGATGTGACTACACAGCTAGTTTTGTACGCAAAGGTAAAGTCCGCCCTTTGGCTTTAATGGAAAAGGAACAAAGGTTCATCGCAGCATTCGCCAAATTGGGAGATTCAGCTCACATATCATCAGATCTGTTAACAGACATGGAGGCCTTTGTTTGTAGCATGTATGGGAAGCCCAACCTAACATCAGTGAATACAGCCAGACATATGCTATTTGATCAGCATTTTGCACCAAAACAAAAATCTCAGCCTTTGCATAAAATCAAAGGAACCGACCCTAGTAATTTGCCTCCATGCAAATCTGTGCTCTTGGAGAAATTGAAGCGTGCAAATCTGGTAGCATCAATGTGGAAAAACGCAATTACCCCAGAATCGTACAAGTGGGCTCCAGAAGAAAATGGATGGCTGCTAGAGAACGGTCGCTATGTTATTAACTGGTTTGAAGGGCAACAGGTCCCAGAAGATGTATGCCTCCACATTGATGATAACGTGGGTACAGATATGGCTAATGAGGAGGAAGATGAAACGGAGTACTGTTCCTCCTCTGATGAGTCAGACAGTGACTCTGACTAATTTGTGACACTACAAATTTTATTGGAATATGTTTTGGAGACATAACAGAACAGTTTGTCTAAGTTTTCCTACATTATAACAATTAGGCCATGAGAGTCTAAGGAACATGCCTTGTTGGCGCTTTATTTAGTACACCAAATTCATAAGTTACAATTATGGTATACTGCATAAAACTGGGATTCAGTTTTATGTACACTTCTGCCTAAGGTAACCATAACCTGAGGACAGGAACTATGGGACGACATTTAACCAGATTTTTTGTCTTGGCAGCAAAATCTGACAGGGGGTGGAGAAAACTTTACTGTCAATATTCTATAGCAGTCACATACTCGCAATAAGTATTGCTATAAGTGTTATACAGAGGTTATAACCAATTTACAAGATCAGTATCACAGTGACATTATAGACGATACATCCTTCATGAGAAATCACTGACTGCACCGATTAAAGAACTGGTTTTTTTCACAAAAGAGCTCTTGTTACCATGGATACCCAGCTTACATGTATTATTTTGATGTATGTGCGTTCAAAAAGATAATATCTGTACTTTGATACCCTACATGCTAGTATAAATGGATATTTAATAACTCCACGAAGTAAAATCGTTGTTTTATACTTTTCCCCAAAATAAGGTGCGAAAACAACAAAAAACACTGTTTTTCTCCAAAAACGCAGCAGCTGCGGCAATTAAGAAATGGATTTTCAGATTCGGCATAAAATTCTGATTCAGAAACGACCCTCAAACCTTTTGGCCTCAGACACATGATTAAAAGTGCCTGGGCTCTTGGACTACTAGGAGTTAAGTTGCCTGGCAGTGAGCTTGGTTATAAAATGTGGCTTCAGAGTCAATCTTCCATTCTTGTGTTTGCAAGTATTTTTAATTTATCTTTAAAAAAAAAAGTAATACAAGTACTGTACTGTATTGTATCATAAGCTATTAAATTATAAGAGAAGTTCAAATTAAATGCTTAAAATTTTGTGAGTGTTTACAGGTAGTCATTTTCCACAAACAAGGGAAACTACTTCACTAATCCAAGAAATGATCAGATAAAGTATAACAAAAAGCTATATCAATGCATCACAAAAAAACAACACTATAGCAACAAAATAAACTTACCCTTTTAAAAGTGACTTATTGAAATCCCCGATGGTAGTCAATAGAATACAAAGTATTTTCATAAAAACTGGATATACTAAAAATGTTGTTCCTTGTATGAAGACATGTAGCGAGGTTTGTGACATGGCAGCATGAATATCACTGGTCTGGAGGGAAACACCACTGAAGAAGAAGATGGTTGACACTGCCCCATACTTGACAGTTATCTCAGGGTATATCAGTCCTGAAAATGTAAAATTTATAAATTATTTCTTATATACGATAACAAGTAAATTCACACAAGATTTATAAAAATACTATACAGTATTATACAAAACACTGCCACACAGTAGGACACAAGAAACGTGAGGACACGTGTTTTTTTTTTTTATGGGGAATAGCCCACCCAGGCACAGGTCATCGACCCACAACGGGGCCTAGGGGACGAAAAAATAAGAGTTAAAAGAAATTAAAAATATATGAGAATAAGAATGTATTAATCTACACCACGAAGATGCCGGAAAACCAGAATTTTTAAGTTAGACAGATTGTAAGAGATGGAAACACAGAAGGCAGAGCATTCCACAGTTTGGCTGTGTGAGGAAAGAAGGATGTACTATAACGGGTTATTCTAGTGTGACCGACATCCACACAGAAACGGTGGGCACCGCGGTCAAGACGAGTATCCTTATAAATTTGCTTTACTTTAGTAGTTGTGCAAGTATATTGGATTAGGTTAGGTTAGGTTAGGCTAAAGAAGGTGAGGTTTGGTTAGTTAGTTTAATTTACTGTACAGTGGTCCTTCGGTTAACGAGCACAATTCGTTCCAGAAGGTTGCTCGTTAACCAAGAAACTCGTTAACCGAAACCATTGTTTCAATTGGTTTTTGGGCAATTAGTTCCAGCTCACCGAAAATTGCCTAAAATCAACAAAAAAGGTAGAAAAGTACTCTTACTTTGAGGCGTGTATGTAGAAGGCTCGATGATGATGGGAATTAGAATGGGGGTGGAGGAGAGGGGAGAAAAGAAGGCATTGGAGTGGAACAGAAGTCACCCCATGGTGCCATTTCACCAATATTTTAGTTCTCTTGGTGAAATTCAAGATTATTTTCTTTAAATCAACACTGCACTGCATTATATATTATCAATATGTAAAATAAATTTTAAGTTGACCAATAATTTGCTTGGAAACACAGAAAAAAAAGCATTTAGTTGGAGAGTCTGAAGCAAGATGTTACCTCCACTGAAAAGACAGAGACTGACGCCTGTATAGTGTGTTGACAGGCTGTTTGGCGCACAAAAAACTAGCTTCCTATACTTCAATTATGTTCAATAATTGTTAAAACGACTAAAAAATTTAATATAAAACTTTTAAAATTATTGAATAGTATAAACTTCTTGATATTTACTAAAATAGTAAGGAATTTAAGCCCTAGAACCGATTACTGTATTGGCGGACTAATACTACAGCTGGTGGACCACCAAATGCAAGCAAAAACATGTTGAGGTCGGCTCATTAAAAACTTGTTAATCGAGGGATTGCTCGTTAACCGAAGTTAAGAATCTTATGGAAGGTAAATCGTTAACTGAAATCTTGTTAACCGAGGGATCACTGTATAGTTACTTTGCTTAATTTTATGAGCCATAAATTATAGAATGTAGCAGTATCTGGTACAGTCAGTCCTCGACACAACGGGGTTAGGGACCGATGACCAGGTCGTAAGTCGAAAATGCAAAAATACATAGAAAATTTAAAATGGGTGTCTCCTTTTCTTCTCAGCACCACGAGAACTCTCACTTTTACGCTTGCCAGCTATTTTAAAGGGAATTACAAACAATAATTTTGTCAGTGCACAGCACGATCACTAACGTCGGGACTCGAAAATACGTAATTTGAAAAATATTTTATACGACCATGGCCGTTGTATGTCCGGGTTGTCGTAAGTCAAGGAGTACCTGTATTCATAAGAATACTGTATAAGAATGGAGGAAAGTGCAGCGGGCCTATTGGCCCATACTGGGCAGTTCTGTTTACACCCAACCCCTATCGCTCATATATCCATCAGACCTAAGTTTGAAACTATCCAGCGTATTCGAGTTAGTGATGATGTTTCGAGTTGTATTCTTGTACGTATTCTATACGGGAAAAATGCTTTGAAAAAAAACAAAAAAACAATGACGAGATAAATGATGGACATAGGTTTTGAACTTTGGAGTCCTAGCCACAGATAAATGGTGAAGGAGGCATAGAAGTGATTCATGTAAAAACCATTGCTCAAATATTTTTGTTAAAGGTGGAGTATATGGCTAACACCAGAAGCAGTTGTTCATTTTTCCGCAGAAGGACTTTGGATGATAGTAGTAATAAAAATTATATGACAACAAAAGAAACCTACCTAACTTCCTAGCCGGGCCCCCAACCCCCCTGGCACATTAAACAGAAAAAACTTTGATATCTGGTAACAATGAAAGCAACTTTCTTGAAGCGGCATTGTGTAATTTTACAATTTTTTTGGACATAAGAGTACTGAAAGTTCAGTTGTTCACGAAAAGAAATGAAGATCCGATGACAACAGACAACATGCATCGACACAGTATATTTTTCAGTGTTATATTTACAGTAATTAATTAATTTCTTCATTTACAAAGCACATAGAGACATGATTTTAGTATCATGTGATCAGTTTTAGCCGTGTTTACCCCGCAATTTCCTTCATCCTTCATACCCTGCCTACTACAGGTGAATTATGATTGTAGATAGAGAAAAAAATACTTATGGTAACTATTGATGACTGACCCACGGCCGATTTTTCATAGAAAACGATTATAAAAACACTGCAATTTCACTGCTTTATAGTGGACACTGTCATAGTTTGTGCAAATGTGTTACAAAGTTGTTATTTCTAAATTAAACCTCACCTATCCTTAGTTAATATGAAAAACAAGCAGCAGAAGCATTGTTAGACCTTACCAACCTAACCAAACAAATCTACCTAACTTCCTAGCCGGGGGCCCCCGGTATATTAAACAGAAAGAGCTTAGTATGATATGGTGTAATTTTACGTTTTTTGTGGATGTGAGAGCAGCCACCCATACCGAACGGTTCTTAAGCATACACAGTACACTGAGCATTGGCGTTGATCCGGCCCAGGTGGTGGAGTGTTTTGAAACACGTCAATATGATTGGCTGTTTACATCCTGGGATGAGACATCACCGCTGCATTACCGCCGACAAAATAAAGTAGTGTGCGCCTAATTATCTACCAATGAAGCATTTGCACGAGAAATGATTATCATATCAGAACTCACTTATGAAATTTAACCTAAAAAAAATATGCAGGGGGGGGGGGTCAGTCATCAATATTAACCATACTTTTAAATAAGTTGTAGTATCGTATTATTCGGATTAGCACATCTTCAAATCGCAGAGAAGCACTTACTTTTAGGTAAGTTCTACCTCATATACATTCCTCAACCCTTGAAACTTCTTGGAAATGTGTTTCTTTCAGAAAAATCGCACACTAGTGAGGAACGCCTAAGAAATAAGATCAATAAATCTCCACCTGTTTTCTACCCGCTGGGGTTAGGGCCCCCCTGGTAGGGATTAGGGTCCCCTGCAGGGGTTAGGTTAGGATCTAGATGTTTGGTTTCTGATATGTTTGGGTGTATTTTGTTTAGACCTCACCTTCGTTTTTGATGGAAAATAGCCATTTTTTATCAAAGATGCCTTGCATCTTTTTTTTTTAAAAATGACCCATTTCCCATGGAAATGAAGGTCAGATCTGAACAAACACGTCAAAATACATCAGAAATAAAACATCTCTTGAAAAATTCGAGGGTGTGCTAAAACGAAAAATTACCCTATCTATCATCCAAAGAACACTTTGAAAAATTGAATGTAATTGAACAACTCCTGGTGTTAGTCGTCTGCTCTACTATTACTGTATTTCTTGTCAATTTCATATTGTAAGAAAGCGTTTATTTATATGGTGAAATGCTGTACAGTAGGTAGTTGAGACATACAATTGGTCTTGACTATTACTAAATAAGTGGTAAGACTACTGTACTGATACCCTTGTTCTTCACATCTGCAGTCATAACCACTCCTAGGTCCGAAACATTCTCTACAAAGGCTACAGTCACACCGATCTAACATCATTATGAATTATTTTTTTATTTATTTAGGAAACAGTACGGATATTTACCTCCTTTAGAGCCCACACCAGGTGCGATATAGGCCAGGATGATCACTAAACACATGGTGTACATAAACCAGTGTCTGGTGAAAAAGGTTTTAACACTCATCTCATTGTTAGATAGAGTCTTCACACGTCAACAATATTCCTTTTAAACGTGTCAATAACCACTGTGTTGACACATCAACTAAGATGGGAAACTAACTTAACATTTTTATTAACAAGTTTCATCTTTTAATGTATGACTTAGTCATATTTCTAGTAGTTTATTTTTAGGAGAGTAGAAATATTAATAAAATAGTACGTATGTATAACCATAGAGTACGTTTTTCTTCTTGAGGCTTTAAATGGTTTAGATTCAGTTTGTTTATATATAACTACCACCATCGCTTTAAATATAAAACTACTCACGATCAAACACCAACTCCGTGAAGCCCGAACCCTTACATACACTTGACATATTTTACTATATGGCTCTATCAATTATGAACAATTTATTTTCTAAAGTACAGAGATGCTCACTGTCTTGGGTCCAGTTTTACTACAGGAGGAAACTGAGGTACCTAGAGAATAACTGCGATGTTCGGCACTGTACGCAGGTATCGAATCCGAATCACAAGTTATAGGCAAAGTTACCGCTGTATCGCCGACTCTTCGATAATGTAGTCATATTTTAACGTAATGTAACTTGATTGTTATGATATTTTCGATATTTACATTAGTTAAAATTATGGGCTTCCTCATGTAAACTCTGTTTTCTAGAAAATTCAATTGGGTTGGGGAGATTTGAGGCTGTTTCATCCTAACATTTTTCTCACTGCTCTCACTTGTATCACTACTTTCAGTGATCGGTCTATAACGACGCCTAGATCTACAGTATACAGTATTCCTTTTAACGGTATCCATAAAAGTATTATTCACAGAATAGTTGTGATTAGGATACCTTGTCAATCTACTAGTGTAGACGCTTAGGTTGTGGGGTTATGTGATATTTGGTTCACACTCAGGATGGGATGGAGAAAGGAAACTCACAATGTGCTCTCTGTATACATATTGTATTGGATGTACAGTGCAGCTTGGTGCTGGGAAGTGGCAGCGTGGTTACAAGCGTGAAGTAGAGAGAGCTGGTTGGTGAGGGTGCTCAGAGGAGGACCAGCTTGTGGGTCGCCATGGTCGCCGGTGGGAGCGAGGGCCGCCAGGCAGGAGCTGAGGAGGTGGTGTTGCTTGAAGACTGGCTGTAGGTAGAACGAGTGGTCACCACGAGGTGTGTGGGTCGCCATGGTCGCCGGCTGGAGCGAGGGCCGCCAGGCAGGAGTGAAGGGTGTTGCTTGAAGACTGGCTGTAGGTAGAAAGAAGTAGGTCACCACGAGGTGAGATCTTATATAGCGGAGGTAGGCGTGGCTTAATAGTTGACCTCCGTCATGTAAGGCGGCGCTGGTTGACCTAGACCACGAGGCATACACTGGGAATTCACGGGTCGGCTACTCAGCGACAAAAGCGTTTAAGAACATAAGAATGGAGGAAACTGCAGCGGGCCTATTGGCCCATACTGGGCAGTCCCGTTTACACCCAACCCCTATTGCTCATATAAGCATCCAACCTATGTTTGAAGCTATTCAGCATATTCGAGTTAATGATGATATTTGGTAACTTGTTCCATTCATCCACCACTCTGTTTCCAAACCAGTGTTTACCTATTTCCCGCCTAAATCTAAATTTGTCTAATTTAAAACCATTGTTACGAGTTCGCTCCTGGTTGGATAGTTTGAGTACCTTTGTAATGTCCCCTTTGTTTAGCCCTGCCTTCCACTTGTACACCTCTATCAGGTCGCCCCTCGCTCTACGTCTCTCGAGGGAGTGCAAATTAAGATGCTTTAACCTGTCTCTATACTCAAGGTTCCTAATGCCCGGATTAGTCTTGTCATTCTCCTCTGAATTCTTTCCAAGGATTCTATATCCATTCTGTAATACGGTGACCAGAACTGAACTGCGTAATCCAGGTGTGGTCTCACAAGAGCAAGATACAGTTTTAGGATGACCTCGCTAGTCTTGTAACTAACACTCCTTTGTATGAACCCAAGTACTTTATTAGCCTTGTTACGAGCAAAAACACATTGTTTACTTGGCTTAAGGTTCCTACTTATCATTACTCCTAAATCTCTCTCGCAGTCGGATTTCTCTATGGCATCGTTGTTCATCTGGTATCTGGTTTCCCTGTTTCCATCTCCTATACTGAGTACTTTACATTTGTCCACGTTGAATTTCATCTGCCATTTTTCAGACCATTCGAAAAATTTGTTTAGATCTTCCTGTAGTTTTGCTGAGTCCTCGTCAGATTTAATAACACGTCCTATTTTAGTGTCATCAGCAAATTTACTTATGTTGCTGTCTATGCCGATATCTATGTCGTTTATGTATATAATAAATAATAATGGTCCAAGCACTGAGCCTTGGGGAACTCCACTAGTGACGTTGCTCCAATGCGATTTAGTGCCGTTTATGCTCACTCGCTGTTTCCTGTCCCGTAACCACGCCCTAATCCATTTATGGATATTACCTTTGATGCCATGCGCTTCTACCTTTCTAATTAGTCTTTCATGGGGGACTCTGTCGAAGGCTTTGCTAAAGTCTAGATATACCACATCATAATTGTGCCCCTCGTCCACCGATTCGAAAACTGATGAAAAGAATGTTAATAGATTAGTTAGACATGAACGTCCACTTGTAGCTTTTCATGCTGTAAATCATTGATCAATCGGTGCTTCTCCAGGTGATTTCGAACAGAGTTTGGAAATGATTGTTTCCGGTATATTCACTATTGATGTTAGAATCGATTGGCAGTTAGGAGGATAGTGATCTATCCCCATCTTGAAAAAATCGGTATTACATCTGGCTATCCTCCAGGATTCTGGTACTACAATCTGTTTTTATGACACATGTTAAACAACTTTGGCTAAGGAATACTAGTTTTTCCACATTCCTTTAATACTCTGGCAAATATCTCATCGGGACCAGGTGACTTATTAGGCTTTAGTTTGTCTATTTGCTTACTAACATCGTTACTAGTCACTATTATCTCACTTAATTTATTTTCTTCACTATCTCTGACTAGAGTCGGTGCCTCGGGTATCATGTTTAAATTTTCGGTGGTGAAAACTGTTGAAAAATATTTATTCAAATTATTGCTCATTTCTCTGTCGTTATCAGTGAGCTCGCCGGTGTCTGACCGTATTGGTCCAATCTTTTCTCGTGTTTTAGTTTGATACATTTGGTAGAATCCTTTGGGGTTTGTCTTTGCCTCCCTTGCTATCCTTACCTGTGGGGAGGAATCCACTACAAAGGTAATCCCGTAAAAATTTCATGTTAATTTTTGACACCATACATCGTAATAATATTTATAAACTATGTTAAGGAACTGTGGTGTAATTTTTTCTGAACGGTTTATTATAAGTTTTATGCCATTAAAGAAGTTTTATCAAAGAGCGGCGTAATGAACCACAGACGTATTACCATTAAGTCCTAAGTAACTTAAAACATGACTAATAACCTATGAACATGTAGTATTATATGATTACAATTTAACATAATATATTATGAATGCTGTTATAATATCTTAAGTGTGTTACAAACATGGCTGCTCATATATGCCATCCTGTCTCTGGCAAAGAAGAGATTGCAGTAAGTAAAATTAATTGCTAAAGACAAATACTGGAAATTAAACATATACTTATTACCATTATCTGAAAAGCTTAGAACCACCGTTTTATATTTATTAAAAGTTTGTAGTGTTATACATCATGTGTATACAAGTCACAAGTTATTATTTACGACATTGCTTCAGTCCTCGTCATCAGAGTCTTCTGTGTACAACAGATTCCTTCACCTTGTTTAAGGCATTTCTCATCATCTGCTTGACAGTTACACATCTCGGTGCATGTCATGCTATTCTTTCTGATTCTTTCTGTATGAACATGACAATGATCCACATTTCCTGACGCCACATCCACATTTAACAAGTTCTGTGATTGCTTCTGGAGCTGGTGGTTGGTCTGATATTACTAGTATGAAACAGTCATTGTCAATCTTCCAGCCATGCTCTAATTGTGAAAGCATTTCACTGTCTGCATCACAAGACCACAGAAGAGCTTGATACCTTCCTCTCAATATATGATACTTTAGAGTTGCTGCAGTCGCTGGTAGTTCTCCAGCTTCTGCCTGCGTTATCTTGAAGAGATGCCATCTAAGTTTTGACAGTTTAGTGAAAGTCATTCGTGGACAGTAGAGCTTAAATACAAATTCCTCTAGACCAATATACATGTCTGCTGGAGGGCATTTGGTCTACTCAGCATCTTGAATGCATCTAGGACTTTTGTGTTAGATTTCATCAAAGTGCTCCAACATGCTTTCTTTCCTTTGCCAACAAATTTTCCAATGCAGTCAGATCCTGTGAAGGCATGGAAACCTGTAAGGCTCTGGAATGTCTGGCCCAGTAGCATCATATATGCATTTGAAAGAAACAATGTGTCGTCGCTCACCAGTTCCTGTTATCATGCTTGCATTTTCTCCAAGTTGAGACTGCTTTGATAATATGCCTAGAACAAACACGTCAGAGCCTGGTGACATGATATGTACAGTGCTGCCTTTCTGTGATGCATATATGGCATGAATGATGAGCAGAGCATCTGCTTCCTCTTGGTTACTTTTCTACTGTTAAACATTTTCACCATTTGATTGCACCGTTCTTTATTGATAGCACAGATGAGGTTTTGCTTGAGTGGAACAAGCAATGCTTTGTTTCCTAGATAGGTGGTCAGTGGTGATTTTGTCTTGTCGTTGGTGACTAACTTCTTGAGAGACTTTAATCTGTGTTGAATCTGTGATTTCATAGCTGTATGCTTTTGCTTCCTTGCCATAGCGTCGGTTTCTTGTTCTTTGTTTAGCGAGTGGCCTACGTCATAGCGATCAAAGACAAGGTGCAAAGCAGCATAACTTTTTCCCTAGCTGATAATGTTTTGATGAAGTGGTCTGCAAACTCTGCAATTTTTTTACAAAGTTGATAGTTCGTGAGCTCATGCCATGTCATCGATGATGAGAGTCTTATGACATGGTTCATTTTGAGGATCTGCAACGCTTTGAACATCAGTAGACTCTTCACTTTTTGGAGCTGCTTCAAGGAGACCCATGAGCTTGCTTTTGTCTTAGCAAACAAGGACAGACCCATCTGGGGGGAAGAGAGATCTTGGCAGACAAGTATATCTGCCAATCGCCTCTTGTAGATGGATTTCATCACGGGATCTTGCGATGATTAGCAGTCTAGCAAGCAAAGATCTGTCCTGCTTAAGTTCTATAACCTGTGGAAGTAATTTGATGGTTGAAGTCTTGTTTGCTGCTTTCTACAACAGAAGATTAACCATGGACATCTTTTCCCAGTTGCTTACTGGACCAACAATGCGTTGCTTGATAAAATTTTCGTAACTGTGTTTTCCATCTTAATAGTTTTATTATTATTATTTTAATTTTTATTTTTTATTTTATTTTTTTTTTACGGGAATTAGCTCGCCCGGACACAGGTCGAACGGGGCCTAGGGGGCGAAAAAAATAAGAATAGAAATAAATTAAAAATATAAAAGAAAAAGGATATGTTAATCATGTCATGCTTGATATTTTTGGTAATACAGCCTCAGTTACCAAGTTTAAAAAAAAAATCCTGACAAAATGGATTACAGTCAACAATAACATTGTGCGGCTTCTGTACATCAGCATATTGGCGGCTGACAGCTGTAGAGAGCTCATGTGTTTTGTTCTTTTGTAATCTTTATGATTTTGATATTTTATGTAATGAACTTAATTTAAAAACCCAAATGGTATTATTTGATCTTTTGTCACCTAGATACTCAGTGCGACATGCCTCTCAAACGATTTTTTTCCTCTCTTACTTCTCTGGACAAATACGACCTTAAATCCCACCAGAAAAAAATACACCATTTATTTTCTTAATCTACAGGTTCCAAGGTTTAAAATGATGTCTGGTGTCAAAAATTAACATTATTTTTTTACTGGACCACATATTGCTACATAAGCGCCTACACTATACTGTACCACCATTTGAACAGCTTGTGCTATTTTCTGCCTGGTTGCGACATGTCGTACGCAATTTTGATAATATGACTATTAAAATTTCTTCGATATCATTAATGTAGATCAAAAACAAGGTGAATATTTTAGTACTGTACAGGGTATCAAGTATAAGGAAAACAACATTATTAATCCTCATTTTAATTCCATAACATAATATACACAGATTGTCATGCACGAGTAGCAGTAAGTTAACGCAATAACAAACACTTGACGTCTATCAGCTAATAACAAGCTAAGCTCCCCTCCTCCTTTACAGCTATACAGTACTTCTCTTCCGCCCATCATACTGTTAAACCAGGAATATTCTTTACTGTTAAATTAGATGAACTATTCAGTCACTTTGGAAGCATAATGTGTTGTCTATGGTAGACCCTGCTGCCACATGGCATCATAAAAATTGTGACCAAGTCCCAGGTTGCTGATCTGACTTTCTGCCTCATTTACACACAATTGCAGGGTCTCAATATTATTGTTTCACCTACTATTGAGAACACAACATACATATTTTGTTTCTCACTTTTGATTTTTTTTCATTTTGTATTTCTTTATGGTTCTTTTTTAATATTATTATTACATTTTCGCCCCCCAGCCCCTGATGTGGGTCAGTGACCTGTGCCCGAGTGGGCTAATCGCTGTAAAAAAAAAAAAAAAAAACGAAAAACAACGGTTAGACAACCATAAGCTATGCTTCTTTTCCTTTTATAACCTATATCCAGCTATGCTTCAACCTCATTATCTACATCAGTTATACACTTCCATCCATAGTTATACATTAGCTTTACATGCTAGCTCTTTCACAGCTATACCCTAGATATACATTCCCACGTTCAGCTATGTATCGGCATCAACTATACATCCTAACTATTTATCTATTTTGTACATTCGCCCACAGATATGAATCCAATTCGCAGATAAGCATATGGAATAAACCACAACTTACAGGCATACATTCCAAACACAGCTAACATCAGCTATGCGCCCCACACCCACAATATACTGCACACCCACCCTTCAGCTATACTGTACACCCCACACCCACAGCTATACCTTACACTCTACATCCACAGCTATACCTTCCCCCACCCATAACTATACTGTACACCCAACTCCTACAGCTATACACCCCACACCCACAGCCTATACTGCTACACCCCACACCAACAGCTATACTGTGCACCCACAGCTATACTGTACCCTTACCACAGCTATATACCCCCACACCTGCAACTATACTGTGCACCCACAGCTATACTGTACACCCCATACCCACAGCTATATACCCCACACACCTACAGCTACTGTGCACCCACAGCTATACTGTACACCCTAAATCCACAGTTACACCTCCCACCCACAGTTATACACTCCACACCCACAGCTATACAGTACACACAACAACGACTACTACCACTTCACACCTACTGCTATACATTCCACACCTACTGCTATATACTTCACACCTACTACTATACACTCCACTCCTACTGCTATAAACTCCACACCTACACTTATATACCCCACACCCACAGTTACACACACCACACCCACAGCTACACTGTACACAGCTATGCACCCCATACCTATTGCTATACACCCCACACCTACTACTATACACCCCACACCTACTACTATACACCTCACACCCACAGCTATACACCCCACGCTCACAGCTATACATCCCCAGCTGCAACTATACACGCCACACCCACAGCTATACACCCACAGCTCTCATCACCTAGCTATATTCGTCCTCGTCGGTAGAGGGTCGCTTGGTGGGGCTGGGGGTGCGGGTGTGGGCGGAGGGTGGGCGGCGGGCGATTGGGCGGGCGTGTGGACGATGGTTGTGGGCATCGTCAGCTAATGCTCTCAGCTCCTCTGACATATCTAAGAAGCCCTGGTCCACGTGCATCCTGCAGTGAGGGTGGAATAGCATAAGGAAATATTTCTGAGTGATTCACTTATTACACACCTTACTAATATTTTATGCTGGATATCAAAATATTCTGATTGGTCAATTATCACGATGATTTTGTCAGGGGCTCTGTGTGGCTTACTCGTAGGATGATATTGCCGAAAATTCTAAGTGATTAATTAATATAATATTACTGCTAGACGAAAAACATTTTAATTAGTCCAACAAGAAATTTCAGGTTGTAGGGTGTTTATAAATATATGAATTTCTACCAGCTGGAGATGGTTAGGTTTATGGGTAACTATTGAAAATTGCAATCATATTTATGTTTGTTGGTAGAGTGTGAGCAACCACCGGTGTAGTTAGGAAAATAATGTACATCGTGAAATACAGAAACTAGGGCGTTAAATCTGGAAATATGGGGTTGAAGTTGACTGAGGAAGAAGAAATACACGAACAAAAAATATTCGGGAATATGGTCAATATATCAGGATAAAATAGAGTTAACCCATTTACCGTAATATGGATTCAACTAGAAATATAAGGGGCTGTTTAAGCAAATCAAGTAGAGTTGCCAAAACTATGTTACTTAAGGAAATGGATAAGCAATAGGATGTTCCCTGACCTGGGGGAGGAGTCCATCCTGTAGTTGGGAGTCCCTGAAGGGTGTCGTGACGGGGACCTCAGGGGCGGGGAACGGCTGGTCAGAGTCCTCGCGCTGACACACACACAGATAGAAGAAATGAAACGAGACATTAGTTGGTGGGAAGGGAGGGAAAGATAGAAGGAATAGGAGAAGGGAGGGTGGTAGAAAGGTAAACAAGGGTGGAAATGAGGGACAATGAGACAGGGAAGGATGAAACAGGCTAGAAGGGGAAAGAGGTGTTAGTTTTATAGACGACTTGGTGAGGAGAGATGGAGGAAAAGGGGGTTGGGTAAGAGAAAACAAGGGCAATTTAATATACGAACCTCCAAGAATCCTGATCCTGACTTGTTAGGGGTCACGTGATGGTAGAGTTGACCTACACCATCTTTAGGACACGTTGGCTTATCAAGTACTCAGCTTATAGTCACTTCATCTTCACCTCTTGTTATTACCACCCTTCTTCATCCTTCCATCCTCATCATCCAATCGTTATTATCCCGTTCTTATCACTTCATCCTCATCACCCCACTCTCCCCACTCCATCCCCACCCCCTCCCCTACCTACCTGTTAGGCCTGGAGGGGCCTGTGAGCTCGTCGAGGCGTCGTGAGAGATCTGTGAGTTCCCTGTGAGCACCCACCATCCGTTCCAGTCGACAGATGGCCTCGTAGTCGCCCTCCACGCCGGGCTCACCGTCCACCCCTACCAGGTCTACTACTGTCCTCCGAAATTCCGTCAGCTGGGGGGTGGGTTAAAGAACGTAAGAAGGTGTGGGAAGAGTAGGTGGGATGTAAGAGGGTGTCACTATACGGGGAAGGTAATACGAATAGAGTCTGTGTAAGTCGGTGTATCTGAGTGTAAAATATGTACGGGAGAGGTAGTTTGAAAGAGTGTTAGTAGGTGTAGAGCTTGTAGGGGGTGTGTGTAATGTAAAGAGTGTATTAAATTGGTGTTTTCGAGTGTAAGAGGGAGCAGGAGGGGAAGTGTGCCAGAGACTACCGCTGGTTTTAACAGGATTAAGGTGGAACAGAATAAATATGAGCGAATATACGAATAGGTGGCTGTAAGGTATTGATAGTGTGTAAGAGGGCATAGATAGAGGTGTGTGTGTGATGGGGTGTAGCTGAGTGTAAGGTCACTAAAACACACTAGAAAAATACAGAAACTACCTCACTCTTACCCTTCTAGCCATCTTTTTTAAGGAAAACAAAACTTAACAAGAAAAGCACTCACAAACAAACCCTTCCACTCTCGCCAAACTCTTTCCCCTCCACGGCTCAACTCACGTTACTCCATCTTCATCCACCCTTACCATCCACTGACCCATTCCTCCTCCACCCACCCCTGCCCCACATCTTCACCCACCCACGGCCCCCACACCTCCACCCACCCCCCCACCCCTCCACCCACCCTGCCTCACATCTTCACCACCCAGCCCCACCTCCACCCACCCACGGCCCCACACCTCCACCCACCCCTGCCTCACATCTCCCTCACCCCCACACCTCCACCCACCCCTGCCCCCACATCTTCACCCACCCCGGCCCCACCTCCCACCCCACCCCCACCTCCACCCACCTGCCTCACACCTTCACTCACCCCCTACCCCACACTTTTACTCACCTGCTTTTCCCTCCTAGTGAGGTCACGGACGGCCTGCTTGGTGAGGGCCAGGTCGTGGGTGAGACCCTCCAGGCTAGACTCGTTCAGACGTCGCTCCTCCATTACGTGGTCACCGTGGGCCTTCACCTGTACGAGGGAGGGATGGAGGGAGGTGTAAAGTGCTAGCTGGTTTTATCATGCGATGTCTGGTGTTTCGTGTGTTGATTAATGTCTTTGTTATATGGTATTTTTTTTTTTTAGCAGCGCGCGCTGTATGATGCATGCGTGCGTGCGTGTGTGTGTGTGTGTGTGTGTGTGTGTGTGTGTGTGCGTGTGTGTGTGTGTGTGTGTGTGTGTAAAATTTAGCAGCTCTTAACGTTAATAAAAAACAAATACGACAGTACTTTTTCTCTGATATGTCTTTCATACAGACTGGTAATATGTGTACTTAGGGACACGAAGTATCCTCACCCTTCACCCAGCATCTTCAACCTCACCCCAGTACCCTTACCCTCCACCTTCATCCTCCATCCTACCCCTCTACCTTTATCCTCCACCTTCCTCCCAGTACCCCCACCCTCCACCTTCATCTAGCACCCACTACCCTCCACCTAGTACCTCTTCTCACCTGTTCTTTAAGATGAGATCTTCTTCTGTTGGCGTGACCTGATGGTGTCCAGCTCATTGATCTTAGTGGTCAGTTCCTCGATCTTCTTCTGTTGCTGAGCGGCGCGAGTCTGAGAGCGAGAGGAAGAAATTAACTAAGGTAATGAAAGTCTCAGTGTAATTTGGGCGCTACTTTCGACATTATTCTCGTCATTATTAAGTATTAACCATTGAATTAGACAATGAGTTGAGTTTCTATATCGTCATTTACGAGACAGATTTAACTCAGGAATCTTTGGAAATCCACCTTTCTGTCGTAGCTTAATTTTAAGTGGGCCAGATAAATGTCATCTGGTAGCTACACTTTCGGGAAAAAATGAAATGTAAGTTTTTTAATACTAGTACGGGTATTATTACCTGGTGGGAATTATTACCTGCTAAAATGTGACGAGCCAGAGGAGATGGGAAATAAACAAAGGGTGAGAGGAAAAATGAGAAAGAGAGAACATGACCCCAAACACTGACCTTCTCATCGACTGCGTCTGTGAGTTGAGACTTCAGGTCCCTCAGCTGAAGTTTGGTCTCAGACAGCTCACCGTTCAATCTTTCCACCATACGACACTGACGCTTATACCTGTGTCGGGGTTCCTGTGATTAACCGCTGGGAAGGTACAACTGTTCTCTGAATATCTGTAACCCCGCCACAGTGCTTACAACCTCATCACAGCGCGTACAATCTCCTCACAGTACCTATAGTCTCGTTATATCACTTATAACCTCCCATAACATTTACAAGTTCCTTTCCACAATATCAGAACCATCTCTACAAAATTTCCACAATCCTAACACCTCACTTCCTTCTACAATACAGATATCCTCCTTAAACTCTGTGCGTTAAAGGACCTCACTTGGCAATCAGATCGTCCCTCTCCTCCTCCAGGTGTCGGGAGGCCCTGGCGGCATCCTCCGTCAGCGCCAGTTTTCGTCGCAGCATGTCTACGTGTAGGTCCTTCCTCTCTACCGCCTCTCATAATCCCTTCACCTTCCTCTGTAGCTGGTACACTGTAGTTGTCTGTGGCGAGGCAGAGGGAGAGGTGAGAGACAGGAGGGAGAACTGGGAGGCGAGGGAAGGGGGTGGTGGGATGTAGAGTCGGGAACAGTAAGACATGAAGAAAAACGGTGAAGTGAGAGAAATAAAGGGTTGGGATGTGCGGGGGAGGAGGTAAGACATGACAAGAAAAAGAGATGAGGGACGAGAGTGGTAGGGAGTGAAGAACGGGGGAAAGAGATGTGGGATATAAAGATGGATAGGCGAGGAAGAGGCATGCCGGGGCATGGAAGATGAGAGAGAGGGAGGTGGCATGTGGCGGAGGGCCAAGGAGGGGTGACATGTGAGAGAGAAAAGACAAAAGAAGGGAGGGAGGAAAGAGGTGAGATAGATCAACTGTACTCAGATAAACAACAGATTATCGACACTGTCCATATACTTGAGCTGCTTCATATGGTTTCAGACTGTCTCGACATACGCCTGAGTACCATATGAAGCGGCCCTCACACCATCGTTCACCTGTGTTATTACCATCCATCATTAAATTTTTTAATAAATAAATTAAGTACTACGGGAGACTCATTTGTCTTTATATTATTTATCTGTCGGAATCCATTTATTTATTTGTTTAATAATTTATTTATTATTTCATGTTTCATTTATCAATCGTGTTGTCGTTTATGAACTACTTATCTATTTGTTACTTTATCGTTTATATATTATTATTATTATTATTATTATTATTATTATTATTATTATTATTATTATTATTATTATTATTATTATTATTTTAGAAAGGGCAGACATTTTCCAGATGGCATGGGCGTAACAACACTGGAGTTGATGTAAATGAGGTCTTCTAACATGCAGGTGAAGCTCCTCGTCGTGTGTGTTTCAGGCGACAACTCTAACAGTCTGTTGTACTGCCCTGATAAAATCCTTAAGGTGCCATTAAGGATATTTATCATGCAGGAAGACGTTTTAAAGACACATAATATATTTGTCATGGTAGAAAGATCCTGATAGGAAGGAACTTTGATGAGAGAAGAGATTCTGAAGCTTTAAGTGTGCTTGTTATGAAACCAAGATCTCAAGTCTCTAAACATTCTTGAGGTTAACTGAAGACCTTATGTAGTGTAGTGGTCCTTGTCAACAAAGGAGTGTTGTAGTGAGAGACCGTAGTCGCTTTCCACAATATTGGAGTTGTTATTATCAAGTGAAACCAGACTTTCTAAGAGAGAAAAGTGACTTTGTGTTGACAGAGGAAAGAAGAAGATGGCGAGAGAAACAATTTGCCTAGGATCTATGAGCATCGTACATATGCCTTGACCAGGTGTGACACAAGCTTGTAAGTCCTACACAGTATGAGGGGCATTACAGTTCTGTCTGCTACTGGGTTGTATTTTACCTTCTCGGAGTATTTATCATCCCTCAGCGAGCCCTGAACAAAGATTTCAGACATATTATATGCGTTTTCTTACACTCAGTAAATGAATTAGTACATATTAATCTTTAAGAACATATAAATTAATTAATTTTATGGTGACAGAGAGAAGCGAGTGCATGATGCAGCAATACTTTTTAAGTTTTTAACACCAAACTCGTAGTCAGAAAGTTTATTTAGACACCAGTGAGAAAACATGTAGTAGGTTATCATAGTATCATAGAGGTACTTGTTATATGCAGTACGGTATGTACTCAAAAACTACTTATCGCTTTATGGAAGAACTTAAATGATACTTAGAGAAAAGTAACGAGAGCTTTTAAGCACGCGATGAGAAATCTATCCAAGGCTACTTATTATGATATAAGTGAGGTAGTACGCAAAGAACCTTTGAGACGTATAGATACTCAAACACTACTTAATGCATTTGGAGAGAACTCATTGAGTTCTGGATGAGAAAAAAGGTAGCTTAAGATTATCTGAGACAAGAGACATGGTCAGCTTCACCTTGTCGACGATCTTCTCGCCCTCCAGCTTGGCCAGTTGTTGACACCTACAGATGATCATCTCCACGTCGTTCGTCACCTCCTGCCCCATCTCCGCTAGCCCCAGGGCCTCCACCACCCGCCCCAGCACCCGCCCCGCCTGTAGGACGACACACACCAACCACGTACAAGGAGGAGGACATGTAAGGAGGACACACAAGGACATACAGGGGGGCATACCAGGAGGACACACAAGGACATACAGGGGGGGCATACAGGAGGACACACAGGTAGATAATACTGTACAGTTTAATATGTTTAGTCTCCAGTGACACCATCAACATACTGTAATAAGTGTTGTTGGTGAAGGAGGTGCCTGAGTATACGTAACGATAACAAACATACTCCAAAAACAAAGTGCAAGCACATGAGACGTGTCACTATAAGCATATATGTGACAGGAGTACATTCATATGGTGGATATTGTGTAATACTGTACTCGCCTAAAACTGGCATTAGTGCACTTGCTACACTCTTGGACACAACTGACTAGGCCAACGAGGCCAGCTAACTAACCCTTTCTCTCTCGATGGCCAGGTGCTCACGCGTGGCTTCTGCGGCAGCGTGGTCGGCCTCCAACTGGCGACAACGATTGGTGAGGGTGTGAAGGTCGGCGTCGGACTGGCGGCCTCGCTTGACGGCGGTTTCGTACAGTTCTGACTGGCGCCTGGTCTGCTCCCCCAGGCTGGTGACCTGAGCCGTGAGGCGCTCCACGTGCTGTGTGAGAACACCAGACATTTGTGAAGGGTGTTTAGTAACCCTGGTAGCTGAAACACATGAAAAAATAAGAACAATAACCACTCTCCCTCACACCTCACCTCGGCAGCCTCCCTGTTAGCGCTGACCAGACTCTGGATACGGTCTGTAATGGCTTGTGTCTCCGGGGCCAGGCGATGCTCAGGGCTGGACAGGAGGGCCCCCACCGTAGTGAGGAACCCTCGACTCTCAACCTCACTCTGCTGCCGACGATGTTCCGTCACCACAACTTCATCTGGACGAGGAAAATGATGATGAGGGGATAAAGGGGAAAGAAGATGGCGAAAGAGGAGTAAATGCAGTTCTGTGTTATAAGGATTGTGATGATGCTAAGCAGCTACATATGCGGAGTTTAGTTAAGAGATTAGCTACTACACTGGTTAGCTTTGGATCAGCACTGCAGTATGATGAGGAGGATGCACATAAAATGAGGCAGAGACTGGGTTAGTTAATCTTGTAGTTATCCCTTAATGCTCTAGGGAACTTAGAATCATAATCTAATACCTTAGATATTGTACCTTGAGGTCATCATATGGTGCTTTACATAGTTAAAGTGAGAAACATGGCGATCTTGGTAAGATATCGACGTAAGAACTCTTAAAAAAAATTAAGGGACAACATTTAGTGGTCTAGAACACCAAGAGTGTTCACCTTTTCATTGACTCGTGTCACACACAAAAACAAAAACTTACCTTTGGCCATCTGGAGGTGCTTCTCAGCAGAGTGCAGCTCCTCGAGGGTAACGTTGTAGGACTTGTTGGTGTTGTGGAGTCTCTCCCTTACACTCTTCACTTCCTCCTCCACCGCCCTCATCCTCGTCCTCAGGTCGTCTCCCTCCTGCAGGTCATCACATTCGGACAAAAGGACAAAGGCACATAAGTCAGGGTTATGCAGATCAGAATAAGCTAGAGGTACACAAGTCAGAACAGGTCAGGGCTACACAGGTCAGGACCACATGTCAAATTGAAAGGTTATGTCTATACGTAAGGGCGTCAGATGACTTAGGAAAACTGGACAACGTAACATGTCCTGACATCAGAGTTCAGGGTAAGAGGTCAGGTCCGTAGAGGTCAGGCTATCTATGCTTTGATGTTGTGGCCAAAAAATAAATAAATAACGGAAGTAATTCTTCGTAAGTTAGCCACCATTTTCCAGTTAAACAAGATTTATTGCAGCTAACATTAGGATAAATGTCTATAATTAAGCTCGAACCAAAAACGAATCGACTTCTCAACCTCTCAAACCTGGACCTACCTAACCAAAATTGGGGCCAATTGATTCATCGATATGCCACTAAACGTGAACCTAAAAAGGAATTACATCCCCAAGCCGGCAAAACTAACGCAGACCAACCGAACCAAATATTTGAACCAGTGATTCGATTTACTCACCCCTCCTCCTCCTCCATGTAACCACTTACGAACCTTCATTGGTATGGTTCATTGGTTCGACACCAAATTCGAATCCAAAACGAACCAAATCTACCAACCCAACAAAAACCAAATTAGAACAACCGAACAAGATCATCCAACCAGCTACCCACCTTCCGGTACTCCACCAGGGCCAGGTTCTGCTCCTCGACTGTTCGCTTCTCGTCGTCCAGCTCGTTCACCAGCCTCTCCACCGTCTGCCTCGCTGCTGCTGCCTCACCCTCCCTCTGGTCCAGTTCCTCCGTCACCCTCAGGACCTCGCTACGCAGCCGGGCACACTCCTGCAGAAAAGTCCAGTGCTCAGTTGAAGAAGAGAAGGATGGAAGGAGAGACGTGTTTAAGGCCGTGTTTAGGGGGTGTTTAAGGGTGTATGGGGTGTTTAAAGGTGCATGGGGGTGTTTAAAGGTGTATGGGGTGTTTGAGGGTGTATTGGGGCGTATATGGTGGTGTTTAAGGGTGTATTGGAGTGTTTTTGGGCGTATATGGTGGTGTTCAAGCGAGTATAAACGTCCTAAGGAATGTTTAGAACTATGTACAAATTGTTAAGGTGCTTATTGATATTTTGAGCACAGACACCCTCTCTTTCTCTCTCACCTGGACGAGCTCAGCAAGCCTGGTGGAGAGTTTTCTTGGGCGTCCTGAGGGTCTAGGTCTCCCAGGCTGAGGGAAGAGGTCACCACCCTCACCAGCTCTAGCAGCCTCTTCTGGGATGCCTCACTTCTCTGTTCTGCCGCCTCCCTCTCCTCCAGATGAGTCCTGAGTGACAAATGGTCAGTGAGGTGAGGCTTACCCAACAAAATGATGGGTCTTACACGACAAAACTAGGTCCTATGAGGCAAGAGAGTTGAGTCCTACACGACAGATAAGAGAACCTTTCAAGATATTGTAGTAAATAATGATTTCAGTACTAATCGTTAATAAGGGGTGTGTAATAATCACTTGGCCAAGGGGTAACTAATGAAGTTTTCCAAGTATTCAAGTGACTAGAAGAGCACCTCAAGAGGTCCTGCAGTTACTCAAGTGAACACAGGGATTTGGGAAGTTCTTCTAGACCCAAGGTGAACAAAAAAATACTTGGGAGGTTCTCCATGTATCCAGGTGAACTCGGAAGTACTTGGAAAGGTTCTGATAGTGAACATAACATAGAAGTATGAGGGATTGTTTGGTACCAAGGTGACTACAAGGGCCTAGCAGGTTCCTCTGGTACCCAGGCGAACACGAAAGTACACAGGGAGTTCTCCTTGTAATCAGATAAACTCAGGAAAACGTAAGAGAGGTTCTCTTGGTTACCAGATGAACACAAGAGTACCAAGGTCATTCTCTTTGTATCTAGGAGTACAAATGCACAGGGGGTTCTCCTAGAGCCCACGTGGCCACAAGAGCATTTAGAAAGGTTTTACTGTATAGTACATACAGTACAGTAGGTAATCAGAGGAGCATCTGAGTAAGACTTACTTGAGGCGAGACTCGAGTTCGGTGATGCGGTCAGCTGCCTGGCGGCTCTCTCGTGTGAGGGCCCCGACGGTATCACCCCCGCCTCTGTGTGGCTCGCAGCGACACACACGACGCCTCCTCCTCCTGCACCACCAGGGGAAAGGTCAGTTTGATTTCTTATTTCAGTAATTCAGGAACAGAAACATTTAAACACACGGGCAGATTTTAAAAAATAATAGTAGTACATAAACTATGTAATGGCATCGTCGTTACTTCCTACTCTCGGCTGGGCAGCTTCACAACCACTTGCTGGTTCAACAGCTAGGAGCAGTTAACATTTTTCTCTGTCATCAGCTGGTACACCACCCCACATGTTCCCCAGCTGACATTATATAAATATTAACTTGCCTGGAGTTTCTGACGGAGCGTGACGATAGTGGCTGCCTGGCGGGCATGCTCCTGCCTGTGGGCGTCCAGCTGGCGGGTGAGTTCCGTCACCCTGGAGTCCTTAGAGGATACGGAGGCCAGCGCGTCCCTCAGCTGCTGCTCCAGCCGCTCCACTTTCACTGTTATTGCCGCCAAGTCACTGCGTAGCGCCTCTTCCGCATCCCCTCCACGCACCTGTATAAACACTTACATACTGTATGCATGTTCCTCTTTACGCCTTCAACAAATGCCTAGTGCAGGGAAAGATGAGACAAGTGTCGTTAAGGCTCCTCATTAAGGCGTCCCCAATGCAGGAAAACCCACAGTACCTGTTCGGGGTATAAATGAATCTCGCGAAGCAGAGGTTCTGCGAGTGGGACTAATAAAAAATGGCAGATTGTGGATGTGTGGTGGTGCCACTATTGAGTGTAAGTCGTCAAAACATTGATTATGGAGATGTCCGTAGAATGTGCAGTGATGTCAGTTTTCTGATTAGGTTATTATTTTTGTTATTCAAGTAAGTTTCCTCTCTAGTGAGTAGAGGAGGTGAAGGGTTACAACACCACATCTTACGCAGAGATGACAACAGTGGTTCATCTGGGAGGCGCATGTCTTATACTGTATATATTATACATTAAATGGTTACCACCAGTTCATAAAAAAAATAGTATCTGGCTATTATTAGAGTCCAAGTTTCATTGAAGATGTATTAGCCAAGTCTAGAGAATACCATCATGGTAAAATGAAAGGTAACTAAAACCTCAGAGTGGTGATGATGAGATCAGCGTTGATAAAATCTATACTACATTGTGCAACGTCATGCCGGTTTCCAAGTAGTTTTGTTTGTGACGTTGAATGAAACTGTGTTAGATGCTCCACCGCTAATACGTTTTATGTCGTCCCTCCTTATGAACTTTGAGTGACAGAGACAGTTGAAGAAAAATATCTAACGAGGGTTGAATCGTCTGTGCAAGAATGGGAGAGGTTGTCTCACTAAAAAAATAATAATAATAAAAAATAATAATAATAAAATTCATAGATAAGAAGAGAGTAGGTGTTAAGACGGAACCTTGAGGAACCAAGGAAAATATATAATAATAATAAAAAGACCGTCCGGAGAAAAAAGAAGAAATTAAAAGGACAAAGGATTTCGAAAATGCCATGGGATGGGAGGGCAGTTTTGGTGGTAAGGATCTGTGTCAACCTCTGTTACAGGTTTTGGGGAATATCAAGGGCTACTGCAGGAGTTTTACCACTGTGGTCTATTGAGTGATGGCTTAGTTGACAGCAAGGAATGACTGAAGATCAGCAGGAGAGTAAATTGCTGCTCTGAAGGTGATTCTTTTGAAATACTGCATTATTATTATTATTATTATTATTATTATTATTATTATTATTATTATTATTATTATTATTATTGCACCAGCCCAACAGGTGGTGTATCAGAGCGAGGACTACCAACTGTGCTCACCTTGTTGAGGCCATGGCTGGGGTGCAGTTTGATGAGTTCCTCTATCAGGTGATCCTTCCGCCTCATCTCGTTCTCCACCGACCCCATGTTGTCCTGTAATGATTCACTCATCCAACACAATAATTAGTCATAATACTTAATTCGTTAATTAATACTTTTACTTTTTACTTTTATCCTCTTCACCACTGATCGGCTCGTTAGCCACTTGGGTGATAAGGTCACGTCTCTGTTACTGGGCATGCACTGGCTCCTGAATGTATCTGAACCTGCTCCAGTGTTGGTCAAGTCTGGTCTTGAAACAGCTCACACCCGGTGCCGTTACAACACTCTCTGGCAGATTGTTCCAAGAGTTCACAATTCTCGCTCCGAAAAAGTTTGGCCTAGTCAGTTTTCTGGACTTGTGACTTCAACCTTGAGCCCTGACCTCTTGTGGGGCGGACGTCCGCCAGCTTCAGGTATGGACACTCGACTGAGTTGTGTCCTTTGAGATGTTTATGCACTTCAATTAGGTCACCCTTTGTCCGTCTGTAGTATAAGCTCGGCAGCTTTCCAATCTATTTAATTACTTGCTTAATAATTTTTTAGGAAGTTCGAGTAATCATCATTAACATTACAGTAATCCAGTCAGTCGTTAAATTGACCGCTCAGTCAATTAGTTAATCTGTAATATACTAAGTCATTAACAATAATCTAAACGATTTAAATTAAATACTGTTTGACGGCGAGATAGATAAGTCTACCTTCATATTTTTCTGTTAAAGCTACACCATAAAAAATGAAATAGTATGGATAACTTTTACATTTTGTGTGTATGTTTGTGTGTTGAGAGAGAAATAAACAAAGGAATACGCACTTACCTTGGTGTCAATTAGTTTGATTTATCTGCGTAATACAGCGATAAATTAAAATACCATGGCTTTATGCATAGCCATATCAATGGATGCTGAAAAGGCAAGAGGATGCACTTTAATAATAGTGTGGTAACGAACCATAATCCCAGCTTAATGAAGTGATTTACCAAATTGAGACTGTCTGGGAGTTTATCTTGACTATAAGCAACATAAACTTCGGTAGCAGGAGAGGATTTTTTTGGAAGGGGGAGAGTTGGGTGAAGTGCAGTACCCACCAGTGTATCAGAATGTAAGCCTGCGAGCCCCTGAAGTCATAATCCTCTTTTCATGCATTCTGTGAGGCAGGATTTTCAGCGCTGGTTGGGATCAAACCAAGCTTCGATGGGCACTCAGCCAAGCATCACCAAACACGGCAAGACTTGTGCGATAGAGTCAATACCAGCTGTCTCATTGAAAATTACTTGCTTGTAACAACTCTTAATACCCATAGCATTATGCTGTACAACAGCTGGCTGTATATAGGTTAGGAATTAAACTTTATTATGGAATATTTCTGTATTTTACTGTGATATGAAATGGTTAAAACGAGCAAGTACAATTTATTTCATTAATGAGTACTTGCTTGTGGTAACTCTTGTGATTATTTTCAGCCGTCTAACTTCAAAACTGTGGAAATGCATAAGGAACACGAACACGCACACCAATGTTTTTATATATACAGTATATTATATATTTTAATACTACTGTAAGGGGAAGGTGGTTGTTTCGTTCTTATATTTTTATCACATTTAATGAACTAATGATATTCAGTACACTTTAATGGGGGCGGGTTGGGAGGTCGTCTCGTTATGGGAGGGCGGGGTGCAAAAAGTTTGAACCACAGCATCACTCACAGTTGGGTCCACCCCGCTGCCAGGCATCCAGTCTGGTGGGGACTCCAGGGCGGTGCGGGCGGTGTTGACGGTGTAGGTGTGGGGACTCTGTGGTTGACTCTCGGTGCTCGACACTGACGCTGGTACTCCCACACCACTCGTGGTGCCCATACCGTTACCTGACGTCTGTACACCAGCACCTGCAGGGGAGAGATGTGGATGTATGGATGTCCTGGGAGGTGGTCGTCAAGGGTACAGCTATTACTTTAAATATCTTTAAGATGGTTCTCAGTAAGTCAACGGAACTGTTTACTAATGATTCACTTAAAAACTTATTAACCTATCATTCATCCACAAACTTCATCAAACACCCAAACATTAACCATTCCCGTTATCCTCTGACCCAACAATCTACCGACAAATTCACTTACCAATCTACCCGCTAACTCATTTACTGACCTTCCCAGTAACCTAAACTCCTCAGTCTCCACCCAACTCACCCACCATACGCTGTACAACTGTCTCGCTGCTGGTCTGGGTGGAAGAGGACGAAGTGGAAGTCTTGAAGTGGAGCGCGACTCCTCCTCCTGCGACAGAGGTGAAGGAGGCGCTCTCCCGACTCACTTCCTCCGACAGGCTTTCCTGCCGGAATACCGACATGGCCCGCTGACAGCCGAGGTCGCCCAGCCTGGCAGCCGAGGAAGTCCCCGACACAGCGTTTTGGCGCTTCAGTATCTTGGTGGTGGTGGCCGAGGGTAAACCTTTTCCTTGTCCTTGAGATGGTGACGAAGGTAAAGAAGACTGGTGCCTCCTGTCCTCTGGGAAGCTTGATAGAGAACGCCAAGAATTTCACTTTCAGTTGAGAACACTGGACGTCTTTGCAATGAGTTACTAGAAGTGTTGTTAATGAGCTTTAGGAGGTGATTTGAATGTTTCAGTAGAAGGCTTCGAGGTGACTTGTTAGCAGTAAGCCTCGAGGAACTATATTTTAGAACTGGAATTTGATCGTGAAGGTCTTGGGAATCTTAGTGGCGCTGCAGGAGTCCTTGAACGCTGAGAGAGAGAGAGTGGATAAAAAACTCTATGGGAGGTCTTTTACTATATTTCAGAAAGAGTAATTGTGTGACTGTATATAGTGAATTCAAAAGGCTCAAAATCTCTTAGTGAGGTATTTTGTAGTGAACTCAGTATGGTCACCAAGAGACAAGTATTAGTTTATGAAGTGGATTGTAGACTTATGGCAAAAGTGGTCAGAGGAGTGAACACTTAGCTCTTGACAATGACCTCACACAGTTAGATTAATGATGTGTGGTCTTGGGGCGTTACCTTTTGTGAAGTATAACAACAAATTGTCAACAATGATCTGGGTTATGAGTCTGGGTGTGTGGCTCTGCGAATTTGTTACTGGATGTCAACAAAAAGAGACATTTCATAGCTGCATGGCACTACCATTTATCATTTAATTAGGTATCACAAACTAAGAATTAGTTTCATAAAATATTATATCACGTGAAGTGTACAAAAACTTTTCACCTCTTGCCTAGTTCGTGTATGGCTAGTTTTCATATTTGTTTAAGTTGTATACGATAAACTTTTCTCGTCTTCCTGGAATACTCATATGTACTGTAAGGTAAATTTCTTTCTTGTGCGTTTTTTCTGTGGTAAAATTTCTACTGCCTCCTGGGTTTCTTTTTCTCCTGATTTATGTATGATAAATGTTCCACATCTCTCTGTGTTGTAGACAATATATATTTTCACCTTTTTTCCGAGTTAAATTCCATAAGTTTTCCATTTAACTTTTCCTGTGTTTATGTATTATACGTTTTCCACTGCTACCAGGGCTATTTACTAAGTATTTGTACTTCTGCTTGGTTACGGTAAATATCCCCACCTGCTTGTTTCGTGAAGAATAAGTTATCCACTTCTTCTAGGCTGATGTACGTTAAGTTATTTCCCACCTGCTTGTTACCGTACGATAATCTATCCACTTGTGGTTGCAGCACATCAAGGTTTGTCAGAAATGGAAGTTAAGACAGTGTTGCCAGGCGTTGTTGGTCCCGTACGTCCTCTCAGCTGTTGTCGGGCCACAAGCCTGAAACAACACACGTCTAAAGTAAAAAAGTCTATATTTGGATTTTACTTATAATGGCTCTAAATGTAAGCACTGACTTTTCTCATACCTGGATCGTGAAAATTTGTGTATAAATTAAACGCCTGTCCGAACGTCACCGTATTTCAATGTTATGTTACAAATTTATATTGTTGTTTAGTTTGTTTTCGGTGTTTGATCCGGCACGGCTAACAAGCAACGGTCACTACTTGTATAAATTACAACTTATAACATTAAAACTGCGAAATACAACTAAAAACTAATAACTACATACATAGAATAGCCAGCTGGTCTGAAGACATCGTACAGGTTATCATTAATTAACGTGAATACATTACCTAGTTACCTGTAAAACATTTACTTCTAAACTTGCTCGAATATCATGTCTCTAACTCGTGCGAGACACAGACGAGTTTATGCAGTGATAGTAAATTATGAAGATAATAATTCAGAGGTTCTTTTGATCTTGATTTATACGTGAGGCAGCCACGAAACCCGGCAGCGTGAGCGTCATGCGAGTTAGGTAAGGTTATAGATACAAGTGTTGATGGTAATACTGCTATATTTACGAGAGAGATTTGCGGAAACAGGTGTCGCTAAAATCAGTATACACGACCCTCGCTCCCCCTGATTGTCTATTAACATGCAAAGATCATCTAGTTCGTCCGTCACGTGTACAGCTGCTGTCCAGATTATCACGATGCAATTTGACACGAACGATGTGTTAAGTAAATACCGAGTGTTTTAGGAATTCGTAATTTGACTTGTGAATTACTTAACGAGAGAGAGAGAGAGAGAGAGATCTGACAGGAAGCGAGAATAGATAACAGGCAGCAATAGACTTAAATAAAGAGAGGAGACAGGAATAAAAATAATGACAACGCAAAAGAGATGATGGGTAGATGGGGGGTGATTTATCCTGAGGGGAAAGAGGGACAGAGGGGAGAGTGAGAGGGGTGAGGGGGAGGGAAGGAAGGGGAGGGTAAGAGGGGGGCAGAAGGCAGGGGGAGGGTGAAAGGTAAGAAAGGGGAAGGCGATGATGACAAGAGTTAGAAGTTTGAAAGAATAAGAATAGAGAGAGAGAAGAGTATAAGATGACATGGTTGAAGAAAAGGAAGGGATAAGTGAGGAGGGGGTAAAGAGGGTAAGAAAGACTTAGGCGGCTTAGAGGGGAGAGGTAGGGAGAGGGAAGAGATGAAGGGAGATAGGAAGGGATAAGTAAAGGGGAAGAATGGAGAGAGGAAGGGAGAGGATGAGTAGATGGGAGAGGCAGAAGAAAGAGGGAAGAGTGAGAAGGGGTGGGGCTAAGAAAGAACTCAGAAGGGGTAAATATGAATGGGGAGGGAAGAGGGGAAGGGGGAGGAAAGGGTGTCATCATAATTGGGTTGTTTTAATACTGCAGTGTGGCCGGGATGACTTAACGATGTGTGAGGAGGATATGTAGTGGGGAATGTGGAATAAGGGATGTGTAATGGAGAAGGGGTAGAGGAGGATATGTAGTGGGGAATGTGGGATAAGGGATGTGTAGTGGAGAAGGGGTAGAGGAGGATATGTGTAGTGGAAGATGTGGGGCGGAGGATGCGAGGGTTAACGTTGCAGGTTATCACAGAACATATTAACAGATGACGACCATCGACGTCATCGTGAGTTGAGCTGCGGATTCATTCCAACCAACAGATGGCGTGAGTCGAGCAACGAGAACCCTCAAAGTTGGCCGTTCCTTTATTTGTTACAACATTGATAAGATACAGATATGATGAAAGTGAATCTCGATTGATACCATAATTCACCCAGGTACTATGATTCCCTTAAAAAAAAAAATACGTTTCCTTGTTCTTGTTAATGACCAAGTTGTAATGTTTATTTTTTTATTCCCTAAAATTTTATGAGGAAAAAAATATACATAAAAATTTAGTAATATTTAACTATGGAAATATATAAAGTTGCGGTTTCATGTAATTGTCAGACCTAAAATACGCCATTGGATTTTTATATGATTCTGAATGTGATTTATGAATAAAGTAATTAAATACAGTGCGTTAATTAATTATTGTATGACTGAGAACGTGAATTATTAGATAATTACGTGCGTAAATTAGTATATGATTATAAAAGTGAATAATGAGATGACTTAAGTATGAGAATTATGCTTACTGAAATCATTCTACAGTATAACTGAGATGACCGAGTGAATGAATAACTAGATATCTGAGTACGTGAATTCTTAAATGTTTTAGTACGTGGATTATAAGATATTTAAGTCCGCGAATTATTAGAGGTTTACGTACATGAGTTATTGGATGGCTGAGTACGTTAATTTTAGATCTTTTAAATTGTGATTTTTTGTTTGTTTTAGGACGTGAATTATGAGATGATCGAGTACGTGAATTAGTTAAATAACTAGTATGTAGACTGAATCACAAGATAATATATTTACTAATATTGTAATGCTGAAACACGTTTATTATCTTTTCGTACGTGTCAGTAACACAAGGATCACAGGCCACACTCCACCACCACCCATATTATCTTTACCCAGCAAACTAACATTATGAATAGAGTAAACACGTCAAGGATCATCAGCTGTTATCATCAATAATAGACAAAGTCAACACACCTCCCTCCTTGTTTGACTGCCTGTTCTAAAGAATATACATCTCTAATTCAAGTAAACAGGGTCATGAACTACCTACCTTCTTATTGTTATGGTTGTTTGCCTCCGGTAATTGAAATAGTTTATATATATATTGTGTTTCAGGGGAAGCAAAACACACACACCGTTACAGGTAAACAATCTATACCAGGTCGAGCTTAGTCAGCTGTCCTGCGGGAGTCGGCGTCCTTAGCAACGGTCACCATGACCACACAGCGTCGGCGTCCTGTCTGGTTTCTATAGCAACGGCTGCTAGGGGGTGTTGCTCGCTGAGCGCGTGCGCAAATTGATTCTGGTTTTGACACATAAAGTAGGTAGAAATATACTGGAATGATCTTGTTCTTGAGAAAATGTACACATTTGTTAAATAAAGATTATTGCTATAATGATTAATTGAGAATATTAAATGTTGTACCGAGTGCAGAGTCTAAAAGGTTTCTACAATGGATGGTCTTCACAACTGGAGGCATAATAGTAACTGAAGCACAAGAATTGTGTTGAAAAGTGATATTAAAATTTACTCTGAGTTTCTACTTTAATTTAATCACTTCATACAACATACGGAATCTTTGATAAGTGTTTGTATGTTAATTTTGTCCTCCTCTCACTGGAGTTAAGTGAACTTATTATGTTAAGGCAGTGACTCAGCATAATATTAATAATAATTTTGGATGCTGTTTCTTTGTTTTCTTCAGTTTATTTCAGCAAGGCACATTCTTACATAACCAGATAATAGTAATCTTCCCCGAACGACCCTTTGAGATTCTGAATCATGTAGCTTTACTTATCATCACATTTTCAATAATAATTGGAATGAACATTTTACAGGTAAGAAATAAACAATCTAATTATTGTAAAAATAGAAAGAGAACAGACCAAGTAGGTTATAAGTGACGGAAGAAGAGCTCGAGAGAAAAATAAAAGAATGATTTACAATAAGATAATGTGATGGTAAAGATGAAAGAAGACGAGTTTGTGAAAGGGTGTTTATGCTTTAGCTAAGGGCAACATATTATTATTATTATTATTATTATTATTATTATTATTATTATTATTATTACAAAGAATATTCAGTTCTCTAAGTCTTCTGTTTTGGCAAAGGTTTCTTTACGGCTTCTATTCCTGGTTAAGGGTTTGTTTGTGTACACCTTCGCCACACATGAAAGGTGATGGTGTTGGCTACCGGGATGACTGAGGCACTTCCTGATTGATTCCACCTGTTTATAAAAAAGACACAGACGAGATATACATGTGGCTACACTCGTCGTCTATTTATCATCCCTAAGTGGAGGTCTTCCTAACGAGGATAATTAAAAAAAAACGAATGTCTTATATATGATACCAGAAAGGGTCCAGGTGACGACGCTTTATGATGATTTATGGGGAAAAATCGGGATCAAATATAATGGTGGGTATATATTTTTAAGTTAGCCTCCAATTTATTTTTTTTTTTTAGTTGTCTTATTAAAAGGGGTTGAAAAAATAAGGTATTGGATACTATATCGAGAATTTTAAAATTTGTACAGATTACCCTTAAAATACATTTTCTTTGATTCATGACAACCATTTTCTATTTTAAATCAGGAGCTGTTAAAGAAACTGTATTTTCAGGTATGTAAAATGTACTCAGTATGTCTTTCCTTATTGTCTGTAAGATAAACATAGATTTGAGTAATGTGATTTAATGACGAGATAATTTAGTATAGATGTAGAAAATTATTACTGATCTTTAAACTACTGTCCACCTTTAAGATATGATAACAGTTGAATGCAGCTTTTGGTCAACACTGTAGTGAAGGAGAATTATATGTCACTATATCTTATTTCCTATGGCCACTTAGGTGATGGTGGTGGGAGGTAAGCGCGGGTCACTCATTTACTAGAAAACAAAAACATTGTCGTCTCTAATTCCCGTCAAATCTTTTATTATCACTTTTTTTTAAATCCTCCCCAATTTATTTTCAGTTTAATGACCTGTGTTTATTAACATATTTATTTGCATTTTCATTAATATTTTAACCATAATCATGTACCGTTTATGTAAACAATATTTTACTTGCTTACCAACATACAGTGCAGTTTTTTTGAGGCTGCCACAACATAGTACTTTATTTATGTACTCCTCCATAATATAATACATTCATGAATTAAGGAATAGATAAATGACTAAATGGAAAGGTTTATGAATGACTGTTGGGTACGATATATGTTGATGCACATGCCTACCGTAGATACATATGTACATGTATAGTAATAAATGTATACGTACTGTACATTTATACGCGAAAAGCATACATGTACCCGGATATAATGATA